TGTAAAAAAAACAACATATAAAAATTTGCGCTCTCGGGCTTCGCCGTTCACCAAAGCGAATGTGACGCCGCGGGGGCAGAGACCGAGCCGTATATCACCCGCGGCGCGACGGGGACGCCCATCTGCGGTGATGCTGCTGAGCCCGTTGCTCTCCCTGCTCTCCCCTCGACTAGTGCTCCCAGAGTCCTCCTGCAGCGGCCGCACATATCGAGTGTAAAGGCTAATACTCCCGGGACTGCACACTCAGGCCGTACGGGCAGACCGAGTGGGCAAACCCGCAACACCGTGGTGCATTGCCTTTACAGACGTCACTGTGCAGCTGTCTATCGGTCGAGTAGGATGAAACTGTGGAGGACGCGGCGTGGAACATGTGGTATTGTGGTACATGTATAGGGAGCAGGGGAGGGAATGGATCGGTCGAAAAAGAAACTAGACAAGGACGATGAGAATGAAAGAGTTAGGGGGGGGGGGGGGGGACAAAAGGAGGAGGGGAGGGCGAGAGAGAGATGAAAACTTGTTGTATTGCTCTTTTGTCCCATTCACTCATACCTGCTGCTCGGGGCGAGGCTGGCTGCGTCGGGGTAGGCCTCGGTTGCGGCGCTGGCCTTTTTTTCTGGGGGAGCGGGGGGCTATGATTGCGTTGTCCCCCCCCCCCCTCCTCCCTTCTTTCCCAACCCTACAGGTAGCCGGCGGCGAGCGGGCCGAGTGGGACGTACGTATGTGGCGCCGAAGAAACAAAAAGAAACTGTAACAACGTTTCAGGCAAAAGTGAAGGCTGGGCTGGTTCTCTACATATAGCTCCAACGTTTGTGGATCATGAAAAGGGAAGTCGGTCTGGTGGAGTTAGGATATGTTTGACCAGGGGGCCTGGGGCTGTGCGCACTCAGAGAAATTAATTTATGTATATCTTTGTAAAGTCGTGGTCTTAACGGAAAATCGAAAATTATTCTTCAAATAAGACTGGTAATGAAGTAACGCAAAGGCACACAGTGTAACTGTGACTACGCAGCAGTGTTGCGGGATTGCCTACTCTTTACACCCTTAAGGGGCCATGGCCCCTATGCGGCCATATTGAGTATGCAATCCCGCAACACTGCTGCGTATTCAGTTGCACCCGGTACTCGTTACTATAGAAAGATTGCAAATTTAGCTCACCTCCTCCGTTGAAAATTTGCTGCCCTATAACAATTTCCTTTAACGAAGCAGAAAGGGCCCTATGTATGCTCTTGCCCCCCGGTGAGGAGGCGGCTTCTAAAGCACGGCAATTTGACACGGTCTTGTTGGCCCCCGGCGCAACACGGGCGGTGCGTGCGGCGATGGGGCGGTGGAAGAGGCGGTGATGGTTGTCCCGCCTGCCCCCCCCCCAGATTAAGTGTGCAAAAAACGCACTGAGAATAGCGCAGCCCGCCGCGGCGCGGGCAGCAAACGGGTTGGGAAACGGCCCGGGTCCGGGTGTATTCGCTCCACTGTTTTACCAAACAACGACGGTTCACTGCTATTCTCTATACCACTG